CATGACTGTATTGTAGGCGACTTTCATGATCACTATGCTGTAGTTCTTGGTTTAACTGAATTTTGTGTATCCGCAAATGCAATCCTTTTTCAAAATAGTGCATAATGACGGGCGACGAATACCCGGTTCTTGAAAACGATATCTGGTAGACGTGTATCACCACACTTTCACGAACTCTCTCGATATTTTCCGGAGTACGAACACGGCCCGACCTTGGCAAGTCCTTAACTGCACCCATTTGTTCAAATTTCCGCACCAACTGACGAATAATGCTGACACTGGGCACATTTTTCGACCGAAATATTGTCATAGCTTCCGAATCGTTGCAACAATCCACTCATTATTTGAGTAAACCGTTTTAACAATACGGACGCATTGCAGGATCGTGTAGCACTCCATGATGAATTGGACACATGCGCTTTAAACAACTACTTCGGCGCCACCTACTGAAATGCGTGTATCAAAAACGCGCAATTTAAATCAGTCACTTATATATTGGCCACCCTGTATTATAGGTGGAACAGGTCCGGTATGATGGACATCTTTTATGTATCAAAACAAGGGTGTTGAAAGTGACCTTTCCGGAAAAGCTACTGTAAACATATGAAATATCTCTAACACATTTTGCATGTGAATTCAACACTGTAGCACCCGAGATAATTCTAGAAGGTACACAAGCCTGGTTAATGTCACTCAACACGACCGCCCTTAAGCCTGTTTATGTTATACATTCCATACCTCCTCTGGACACTTGTTCCCAGGGTAATCTTTTAGAGGGGTCATATACACGCAGACTGGTATAAAGGTCGCTACTAAAATGAAGTAGTGCGCGTTGTGAACCTAATCACAGTGTTGTTGTGCTATTGGTTGCAGTGTTTTGGTTACCTGAAAGGCGGGCAATCACGGAGTATTTCCTTTATTTTGCTGTACTGCATGGATTTATAATCATAGTACTTCTATATTCATGATCATGAATGTCGTAAGCCATATTTATAAAGATGCTTTGATCATATGTCTATATTTTTATTAATGGCTTACGGGTTTAATAATTGTCGATAAGGATGAGGAAATTAACTGGCTCATACAGGTGTGACTCTCTCAGTTTATGGAAGTTGTTATGGGACTTTGAGGTGCAGGTAGTTATGTTAATTACTGCTTGGTTTCCTCTGCCAGGGGAGCGCTTGGGGTGTTGACACGACGGCTTTTGGTCGACGTGACATTCTAGGTCCTAATGACTGGAGTCTGAAAGGATTGTTAATCATTACGTTGCTCGGTTATGTCTGGATTAGGGGTAACGTGGCAGCTTTTGGGTATTGTACAATAGTTAAACTCAGCATATCTGTCCATACCTCTTGGTATCAACATAGGCCGCTGTGTGCTTAAATCCTATGTTGAATACTTATGCTGTTGTGTGCTTGAATCCTAAAAAAGGGCTGTGTGCTCTGAAGGGGTTGTGTGCCTCAGTTCCTACAGTCTGCAGACGAGTTTATGATAAATCATAGATAAATAATCTATTTGATGAGTTAGTACCGCTGCGGCTAATTAACGTAATCCTAAGGTAGTAGAGTTATGCATGTTATGAGTCGGTTGAATATGGTAGGTACTCAAATCATTTTTCTAAAAATAGGTGTTGGCCCCGACAGTCCGGTCATATTGCCCTTATGGCTTAGGGATAACGCGTTGTCGTCCAACTAACTTCTATCATCATTTTAACTTATACTACGAGGTTGAAAATTTACTGCTCAGCTTTCCATTAATTTTGACACAAACATATGCCAACAATAGAAAAACCTCTTAATTGCTTTCGCCAGTGGTGGCGGAGGTATATCTAAGTAAGTTTGAGAACGTCAACAAATCTAATTGTTTCAATATTTCCAGGATTATTTGAAGTTATTTGAAATTTTTCTACTCTCTGGTTATTTTGGACCATAGAAAAAATAAAGGCTTTATTAAATAAACGAGTTGTTTTTTGGAGGGGGGGGGGGGTAAAAACATTCTTGTGGCTCCTCAGCCTCCTTATTGCCCGGCTATTATGTAAAACATCTATGAAACGTCAAAAAAAAAACAATAAAACGCCATCCTCCATACTAGGTAGTTTTTAGCGTACAGTTCATTGCACGTTTGCTCGCTATGATCGCTGGGAGCGATCATCTATGGAGGAATGACTCAACTACACACACTGTTGGTTGCAGAGAGCGAGTATATGTTTTGTGAAGCCGAGCAGTCTGAAGAGAAGATGTGAAAGCAAGAAAGTTGGTTGAATAGCAAGATCACATCTGGATGATTATGTGTATTGGTCTGAAGGAGTATACAATCAGTGATATTTGCTATGCGAGAAAATTATTACTGAATATGCTGCCAATGCAGTATATATAGCTGTGCCCGACGGGTTATTTATATGCTCACCTTTCTGAAGACAGGTTATGTTCAAAGTTATAAATTACGATTTTTCCCGTTTTTTTTTTGTTTTCAAAAATTAAGAATGACGCATCACACATCGAACATTTTCACAATGCCTCACATTTGATTTGTATTTTCTATTCACCTGTTCCTTCACCAACCAGAGACTTTCTTTTCTTATCTCTCTTATTTTTGAAATTCAGCATACACTTACAAGACAGAGCTAAATAAAGTTCCTAACCATTTGAGATCTAATCTAAACTGGATGCAATAGAAAAAACTTACGGCCTACGGTCCACTTATAGGTTTGAAGAAAAATACTGGGTCGCACAAAGTTCGAAAAACAGTTTGTAACAAAATCATTATTGTAATAGTTACCATCTATTTCAAGAAATATATATTATATATTTCAAAAAATAATATACAGGGTGTTCCTTAATGATATGCCAATATTTGAGGGTGTGAATCTACATGAAAAATTAATGTTAGTTTGCTTTACAAACTATGCCCCAAAAATGTTTCTTTACAAAAACTCGGGGTGTTGAAGTTTTAGGAAAAAAATGGCAATTAATTAATATTTTCAGAACCGCTTCAGATATTTTACTGATATTTCGTACGTAGTGAAAGTTAATAAAGTTGCATATTTTTCAATGCAAAAATAATTTTTAGCCTTAACAGTTGAGTACGTACGGGTATTGACTTCGATATTTTTTGAGAAACAATGGTTTTTTGCAAAATAAAAATTTAAAACAAATGATCTTTCCTGAATTGTTTTCCTTCGATGCGCCATTTTTGAGTAAAAAAATAAAAACCGTTCTATTGTCTAACTTGCAAAACTATTATTAATTTAATTGGAAAAATTATGGGTAATGAACAACAACAACTGACAACATAAACATAACATTAAAACCAACGAAATGATTACAAAAATTTTTGAAAATGGCCCCCTTCACTTAGTATGCATGCTTTATTCTATCACAACCTGCAACTATTCTTTCTATTAATTCCTCTACAGTTCTAATGGGACTTGTGTACACTAGTGTCTTAAGATAGCCTCACAAAAAGAAATCTAAACTGTTGAGGTCTGGGGAACTTAGTCGCCATTCTTGGGGCCCACCGCGGCCAATCCAACGATTTGGATAAACAGTTTGTAAATAATCACGAACCGCTACACTGAAATGCGCTGGTGCACCATCATGCATGTACCACATATGGTTTCTTATTAATAACGGAACATCATCAAGCAACAAAGGCAACTGTTGTTGATGAAAATTGAGGTAAGTCTGTCCGTCAAGTCGTCCCGGCAAGAAGAATGGACCAATAAAGTGGATGCCAATAATTCCTGCCCATACGTTAACCGAAAATTGGTGTAAGAAATGGGTTTCGGTTACGGCATATGGATTTTAGTCTGTCCACAAATGATTGTTGTGGAAATTCTGAATGGCATTTCGAGAAAAATTAGCTTCGTCCGTGAACAGAATCCTCGTTTCAAATTGCGGATTTTGTGTAATTTTTGAAGATACCACTGATAAAAGGTCACACGCCTTGGAAAATAAATGGGAAGTAATGCCTGTAACTCTTAAAATATGGTAAGGATATAACAAAAAATCCACTAAAATTCTCCAAACAATTTGATGGCAAATATTTAAGTGTCTAGCGATCTTCCTCGTACTCGTTTCAGGATATTCTTCGACTTCGTGCCGCACTGCTTCCTCAATGTCAGGTGTTCTCACACTTAGAGGTCTACCTTCAGATGTTGCTTTTCGAAAAGAACCAGTTTCAACAAGACAACGATGAATATTAGAAAAGGTTCGACTATCTGACGATCGGGATATCTCTGGTGATAAATCCGTCTGGCTTGCTCACCATTACCGTCGGCAAGGCGTAATGCATTTCCGCCATTTCTGCATTTGAATAATTCACCATTATTAACAAGATTGTAAAAACTAAATAATGAAGATGTCACAGCGAACAGATTTGAATAACAGAGACTTCTCAGGTGTCAAAAGCCAGTGACATATTCCAGAGCAACTAGATATTTATTGCTAAATTGCATTCTTCAATTATAACATTAATTTTCTCGGACAATAGAACGGTTTTTATTTTTTGACTCAAAAATAGCGCATCGAAGGAAAAAAATTCAAGAGATCATTGGTTTTAAATTGAACGGCGAATTTGAAAATAATTTTTATTTGGCAAAAAACCATTGGCGTACCATTTTTTTCTTAAAAAATATCGAAGTCAATACCCGTACGCACGCCACGGTTAAAGCTAAAAATTATTTTTGCATTGAAAAATATGCAACTTTATTAACTTTCACTACGTACTAAATATCAGTGAAATATCTGAAACGGTTCTAAAAATATTAATTAATTTCCATTTTTTTCCTAAAACTTAATTACCCCGAGTTTTTGCGAGGAAACATTTTTGGACCATAGTTTATAAAGCAAACTAACATTAATTTTTCATGTAGATTCACACCCTTAAATATTCACATATCATTAAGGAACACCCTGTATATAAATAAATTTAGAAATGCATTGAATAACTCTATGAAAACATGTGCGAGTGTAAGTTACTATTATTTAAATAATACTAACCTTTCAATATCCAAAGGGAATCTGAACAAACTATAGTCAGAGTTTTCAGCCGTATTTAGACAGTCTAGTGCAGCGCAGCGTCTCACACCACTCATCGCAAAAGAATCAACATTCACGGCGCTATCGTTATCCTAAGGAAACACTCGCGTTAGCGTACTCAATGTCTCCAGAATGTCCCGTCAGAAGTGCGCGTAAAATCCGCTATCCGCTCGTCAGACAAATATTGACGGTAGGCAGCGTTGCCAGATTCCTCGCAAGAAATATCCATGCAACAGGTCGAAATCATAGTACACAGTGCCGTAGGTCTCAGGATTTATGTTCAAACGGAAAATTTCCATGTCAGGGGGATTGCGCGCGGCTTTCTTGGAGAATGCAGCCTCTCTGTGTCAATTGAAGAGCGGACGAGAAGGGGGGGGTTCAGGCGTAACTTTATTTCGAGAATAGACAACGTAACTTTATTTCGAGAATAGACAAAATAACTGTAACAGGGCTGGAAACGAGTGCAATGGTTTTTCGTAATCTACATATCCTATAGCATCCAAATACATCTCATTTTCTGAAATTTTCTCAATTACAATATTTCTTTCGTCAGTAGGCATGGGAAATAAAAGCACTATTTGGGATATAGGTAGCGTGCCTAGATTGCCAAGTGGTTAGCGTGTCCAGCTACTAATCGGTCAACTCGAGGCTCGCAGGTTCGAATCTCCGCCTTTGTTAATTCCGAGCCTACATGTATGTATGCACCAGATTGGTGCAAAATCAACATAGGTACATCGTATCCCTGGATCTGGTTCATTCAATAATCAGTTACCAGTAGATGACTGTAGTAGTAGTACAGTGTTGGTACTACGGGGTCAATAAAAAAGTAAAAGGTAGCCCAGTTGGTAAACTTCGCCTCCCCACCACTACTACTTTCTACTAGTCGAGGAAAATGCGACTTTTGGGGGCATTTCCGTTTATATCAGCGAAAAACTGACACCGTTGTTCTTCTGCCTAAGAAGCGGATGTTCAAATTGTAAATACACAAGAATTTTTCAAAATACCCGTCTATACCATACCTTTGACCTATAGTTTCTCAATGGAAAATTTCATTGTTCATCTTCCACAGTTGCTAGGTTATGAAACCCAGTGCAATGGGGCAGGTTGAGACGTTGATTTCGATTATATCTATGCTACCGTATCTGAAGCCCTATTTGAAGTAAAAGAACTCGACTTTTTATATCAGATGAGATTTCTACCCGTGGCTTAGCACACGTAGATTTCGGTTTCATTGTAAACTAGACTAAGCCCGCGGCTCAGTTCGCGTGCCAGTAGTGTGAAAAGTACCTGAACTTCATTCGTTTCACATTACAGTGAAGAATATCGGTTTGGGAGAAAGAAATGTAATGTTCAAGGTAAAGCAATAGTAACTTTGTACCTTTAAACCTTCATATTTCAGGATTATAATGTAAGTACTCACAAAGAGTAACATAACCTGCTCCAAAAATATTTCAAGATAGAGCCCAGCCGCCATATTGGAATTTTCAACACAGGGGAAAGGTTTTATAGCAGAAAAACTCGACAGTGTTGCCATGCCGGCCCTTCCTGCTCGAAGTGTGAGATTCTCCTGAAGTGACATACTCACTAGAAACCCTCAGTCGTTCGCCACACATCCCGCCACGGTAATGATTGCAGCATTTCTTTATAGTGGGTAGCGTTGGGCTAGGCTTTCATACCGAAGGTATTAGTCATATACTTTCTATTGTACACATATACTATATATATGTCAATCGAGCAAATTAGAAACCCACTATAGGTTCCTTGGTCTATTTTGTTCTCCCGTACCTTACTCAGCATCATTCCTCTCAAGTATATGCGTAGCAAAATTGTCAGCACGGAGCCTCTCGCCGAGCGTCTGTTCCAGCTGTGTCTGGTAGTCGATTCACCTAGTGCATTCGAGTAGGGGATTAGGAGTATCATCATCTTCATTGCAATACCTATATGCAATTCGCGTACTTTCTTTCCTACCCTCTTCAGGTAGCTATCAAAACAACCATGTTCTGTGAGGATCTGTGCAGAATAGTAATATATAGGCACCGCTTTCTTGTCACTTCAAGTTTCTCTCCTGCCATCTGACAAAAAACGGTTCTCTTTCGTCGCTTGTAGCTTCGACGCCCTTTTTATCGAGTCCACGTATCTCCGCAGCCAGCAGATCAATTGGCGGGATATCAGCTACCACCAGCAGTGCATCGGTCGACGTCGTTCTGTAAGCACCTATCATATACAGCTCTACTTTCCGCTGGCTTCTCAGTATTAGCTCTCTATACGGGGTGTTAGGGAAATAATATTCGTAACTTCAAGAGGTGATTCCTTGCATTATTCTAAGCATAAAAGTTCATTATAACTTATGTCCGAAAATCAATCGTTTTCGAGAAAAGTGAGTCGTAAATAATTCAATTTTCTCAAACATTTGGCAACGATGCAACGCAACCGCGATACGAGCGCACGACGACCGCAACTGATTCATCGAATTGTTTACGTTTTTATATGTTTGTTGAAAATATGCCTTGAATTATTGAATACTTTTACACAATTTTTTGTGGCTAATATTTTTTTATTTAATAACGCTTTCAGTACAGTACATTTACTTGAAAAAAAATGGCAGAACTTACCGGTACGTGGCGATACACACCACCAATTAATACGATTATCAGTCACTTATTTGAAACGATGCGAGGCATGAAAAAAGAAAAAGAAACAACACCCGTAAATCATATAAAGTTACAGTTAAATGTATTAGTAATCACAACAACACGCGATGATACATGCAGTGCAGGTGGAGTACGACGTTGCCAGTTGTAGGAGGGATTTTGTTTGTCTGCTTTGCTTCGGAAAATTGTATTTAATAAGCAAGAAAATTATTTTGTTAGAGACAATTAATAAATAGATGTATTGATACATTTTACGCTATTAGGCATATGAATTTAAATTATGAAAGTACAAAATTAACTTATTTCATGACTAAAAAGAAATAAGGTCAGCATTTTTTTGCTCTGAAACGGTTGATTTTAGGACATAGGTTATAATGAACCTTTTTGCTTAGAATAATGCAAGGAATCACCACTTAAAGTTACGAATATTATTTTCCTAACACCCTGTATTTATTATCATCAAGGTCTTGTTGTATACATATAGGAGTTCCGTACAGCATAACGATGGTCTAATTCTAATACCCCGTAACTGTATGGATCGTTATTTTACAGGAGAGGATTTCTTATTTTGTAAGGTGCTAAATATGATTCAAAAGGTTAGAAACATTTTTTTTTATATTACATTTTCATCACTAAATGGTAAAATGTCTTTTATTTTCTAAATTTGTTTTTATTGAATTAGGTAAGATAGAACAAAAATAACCTTTAACGGTACGGGATATTGTAATAGGTAACATTTAACACTAAACAAAACTGTTATTAACTTGGTAACATTATGGCGCGAAAAAGTAAAATTTGAATTTTTTGCATATACGGGGCATTAGAATTAGACCATCGACAATCGAGTTTGCCACCCCTGCCAAAATCCTGCGCCTCTCACAACTGGGGCCTCAGTCAGATGACATTAGCCGTTTCAGAGATGCAAGACTTAACGACTTTCTTTACCTTGTCAGTGGTGCGCCTTATACAGCGAAAACCATATACCACTGGCGTTCGTAATGTGTAAATATGTATATAATGCTAAACGCGCATTTTCTTGTAGAGAGGCAATTTAACGCCCGTGGGCCTCCACTCAAAATAAGGAGCGAATTCACCATATTTTTGAATTCGAGTTCCTTGTCTAGTGTACGAGTAGTATTGAGGTCTGTCTCTATCCATAGTAGAGAGAATATTTACCATAGTTTTGAATGCGGGTTTCGAGCTAAAATATTATATGAAGCACACTTATCATTTCGAATGCGGGTTTCTTGCCTATACTACCATTACTGTTGGGACACAAGGGCGTAAAATATTTTAGGAAGGTTATCGTATCATGAATTTGAAATTATACGTAAAAATATGCTGGAAGGATGAGGATTCATGATCAGGAGTAATGTCCGTCTTAGAGGAGAGGACGTATCATGCGATTAGCGGAGGAGGGGGAGATTGGGTCCGATATTATTATTTTATTTCGGAGGGGGCGGGGGGTCCGGACTTCCAAGGCACGATCGCTCCAGATCCAGGGCCGTATGCTCCGCTGTTCGATTTTCGTCCACCGGCGCGCTTGACGTCACGCGGAGAGTGATTATCATTTGGGTTGATATGGATAACATGCATATACGGCTGGACGGATTTTCACATATGCGGTGTCGTTGGATTCGTCTTAGCGGTGCGAGTGCCACTAGCTACATTAAAATTTTATACAAAACAAAATGGTGGATTTTAATAAAAGATTTCAACCCTGTAATTCCTATTTCACAGGCTGTAGCTTAAACGGCTTCTAGCTCCCCAATAGGGCGTATCGTCTCTTCACTGTAAAAACAAGATAACTACGTTTTTCTACATTACCTATATTTTAGTATGTTCTGTGGAGCAGGATTAACATGTTCATGTCATAATACTGTACTATATTTATCCTTTTTCCACAGAACATCCTAAGTACATGTAAATGTAAAAATGTACGCAACTCGGAAAGTAGAAAAATGGAGTTATCTTATTTTTGCAGTAAGGTGGTGGTATAACAATAAATGAAAATGACTTAGTCTAAGCAACAAATTTTTCCCATTTCCTTTTACGATTTTTCTGGTCTTTCAAACTTTTATTCAGTTCTTTGATCCGGAAGAACATCCTTGACCTGAAAAACAGTTTTTTAGCTTTTTCAGGGCAGTCAATGTTGCTCCTCTTCAAAAGAAGTTCACCTATAAAATTTTGCTTTTTTATCACTATTCCGTCCCCATTGAATGTAGTGAATACCTTGTTCAGCTTCTCAATTTGATTCATGAAAGTTGCGGAAGGTTTTGATAATCCACCCTCACTAAGATGGTATATCCATCAATAAGTTTCATTTGAGGAACTTTTCAACCTCACATCCTGCAATTTAGCCGCCCAAATTTTCCAGCTCGTCATACTCAAGCTCATCTATTTCTTCCACTAAAGCTTGGTCGGTATAGTCAGCTGATACTTCAGGTACATTCAGTTTATTCTCGTTAATGATGCGGTTAGTGGTTAGTGGAATGTCTGGAGTATCCTCTGA